TATGTAAATTTTAATTTTCTTACTAATTACATGTCTGTATATAAAAAAATATAATGTTATGTACGTTCATCATTGTAACTTAACTATTGCAGTTTTAACTAATTATTCTAAACACGGTTTTATGTATTCATTACGGTTTTACAATCACTGTCAATTCATTTGTTTGTTTGTACAAAATATATCTTATCATTGTAGGTACTACTATTTCAACTATGTAACCAGGGCCGGATCTAGGGGGAGGGAAGTCGATGATTTATCCCCGGGCGTATAACTTTCGTAGGCGTTTTTTTAAGGTTTTAAATATTTTGTAAATTGAAAATTGAAAATGGACTTTAAAACAAAAATCAAAACTAAGTACAAAATAATATTTCACAGGAAATGTGTAATATTGGGTATGGGAATAAAATAAAATTATTTTATTTTTAATCGAGATTAGTAATAACTAATAACATTGATTTAAATATTAAAAAGGACAAATATGAAAAAGGTAAAAAATAGATAAAAATATAAAATAAATAAAACCCGTCCGAAATTTACTGTCAGCGGGAGTGTAAACATGCCTTAGTCTATCATAAATAGATTAATGTACTCTACGATTAGTGACATAATAAAGTATGTTAAATTACATCATTTTCTTGCATATAATATAATATTATGTAGATAGTTGTTTAAAACCTTAATCCTAAAAATCGCACTATTAATTGTAATTCATTGTTATGTGTATAGATGTTCTGAGTAGAAAATCTGGTATAAAGCCGGGTACCGAGTATAGGCCGAGTAGAACTGTAAATACAAAATTTGTATTATACTACTATCAAAGTATCAAGTATCAAATTTATAAACATTAGACAGAAAACACTAGATTTATTTTTGTAATTTGTAGATGAAAAACATGATTTGCTTATAGTTATCTGGCTATTGTAATTCGGTTCAGTTATTTCAATATGTACCAAAATTAATTATAATTTATCACCCTACAATTTTAGATTTTTCCCGTTATATTAATTATAGGTATGCATATATTTATAAATAGATTATCAGAGTTTGCCATTGGATATGAGTCGAGTAAAAATGAAGATATTACGCCGGTACCGAGTAATGGCGGGTAAAAATGTGGGTATTACGCCGGGTACCGAGTAAGAGTCGAGTCTTAAATATGATATAGAGTACCCGGCCATCGAGTAATTGCCGGGTACCCGGAACATCTCTAGCTTATGTGATTTTAAATTAACAACTATATATTTTTCCAAATAGGTAGGCGCTGTATAAAATTATGTTCTACATAAAATATTACTTAGGTACTAATGATTTAATTGTTTTCAGATTAATTATTAAATTACATGTTCGTACCTAGGCTTATAAAAGTCTTTGTATTTAACAATTAATGCCTTTTTATAAACTGAACTTTTTTATAAATATCCCCATGGCCACTAGATAAATGTAACAGAACACAAAATGCCAAAATGGAATATAATTTGTCATTTGTGTTTGCTTTTTAAATAGGTACCTACAAGTATACAACTATATTAATTTACTTGATAAAACTGATACCACAAAAGTACAACATAATTAAATAATTAAAACAAAAATACTATCCTATTGATTGTAGCCCAAGACAAATTGAATATTATGTTTTACATATTATATTAAAATAATTTAAAAGGAAATTTATATTCTACTTGGTTCGTCTTTTTTTTATTATAAACTGTGTTTTTTTGTCTAATTTATTTTTATAGTTCAAGATGTCAAACAGACAACCAGGTCCTTATTATTCTGGAAATTTTTAAAATGTAGAATGTAGAATGTAGTTATCTTAGTATATAGGTACATTCAATCCGTAAGTGATAATCCACAGTGCCGGATTAACGTATAGGCAGGGTGGGCACGTGCCTAGGGCTAGATAAAAATTGCCATCAGAGGGGGCTATTTTTTTTTTTTAATAGCGGCACTGTGACTGTGGAAGTTCGTGCCAGTCCGAGGCGAAGAATTACTTAAATCTTAATATGGTTTTTAATTACGTCTTATCATTTTTCGGACAAGTGCAATTCGCTGCAGCAGTACAGGAAATGCGGCTGCTTTGATAATTGATACTGTTCATGATAATAACCTAGGTACATATTAATATTAAGTTTTGATTGTAACAAATATTAAAAATGAAAATGTATAATATTGATAGGTATATTGTAAATTAAATATTGTTCTTTTACATAAAGCGTCCTATATTAGAAGTAAGCAATGGATACCTAATTTTGATTTGTTAATAAATAATTCATATTTCATACATGTTATATTATCAATATTATTTATTCTAAACCTGGAACTTAGAAATATTGACCACAGATTTTAGCTTTAAATACACCATTAAGAAGTGCTTCTAAAACTATATTACGTGAATAGTTTAAAATTTAAAATGTTTCATTTTTAAGTTAAAATCGTTCAAATTTTTTGTGATAAATAAATGATTGGTCCTGCAGTATATTTGGAAAGGTTTTGTTGGTCCTCAGTTCCTCGCAATACTGTGTGAGTGTGCTTGATTTTTCGTAAAAAAAGTACTAATTTTGGTCATAAACTTTCGTCTTACAACCTTTGCGAATTTTATAACTCCAACAACATTGTCTCCAAAATCGGTACCCACTCTCAGCGAGTCCAACGGGCCCCGGGTTATACTTAGAGCTAGTAAACCTATATAAAACAAAATTAATTGGCTGGATTAATGAGTATTCATCTTAAAAATTGTTTCTAAAAAAATTAGTTACTTATGCTATTAATTTATATTTTACAGCATCTACGAAGAAGATTGCAAAGAGGAGAATAGCCGTGTTGGCACTTCAATCTTTCTTCGGGTATGATTATTTACGGTAATTTGGTTTAATCACTTCATTAATTTGTAATATATTATATTAATTCTACCTTATACATTAATTAAAATACATAAAATTATTTTTCATTACAGTGTTCGTTTCAACAAATAGTGAGCCATAAATATGCACCGCACCACAATATCGGCTGGGGATTCGAAAGTAGCACCGGTATCAATATTATTTAACAGTTGTACGGGGTATGCACATTTTAGGTACGATTATACGTACAATGTTATATTGTTATTATGTTATTATATATGTTGTAATTGTTGTTATACAATATAATGTTATATTATTTAAAAATATACGTGTTTCGTTATACTGTCGTGATATTACTGATATTATACAAAAATAATTATTAAAATATTATATTTATTAAAATATAAATATTAGTTAATTTGTATTTTGTATTGTCAAGTGGAAAGATGACTATATCGAAGCAATGTAAACAATCATAACCTCAGCTTTTTAAAGGTAAATCAAATCAATTTTTAAATAATATTGTATTATAAATTATAATTTATAATAAAATTATTGTTAAAAGTCTCATAAATTATAATCTGTATAGGTACAATTATTATTAAAAATTATTTAAATGGTTTAAAATAATAATAAAAACTAATAATAGAATTATGAGTTTTAGTGGCCTATCCCTTATTAGCTATTTGAATTTTGAATCCCACTGTGTTGTATTCACAAATAAATTTTCCTAATTTCCTGAATAATGTTTTGTCGTTTTTAATTCTTCTTAAATCATATTGTTACGTTTCTGTAAGACCACATAGGTATTTTATATTTTTCTATAGAATTTGAATAAAAATGTTGATAAAAACCAAGGCTTTGCATCCGAACGTAACATTTTTAGATTATTAATAATTTAGCTCTACCTTTTGTTATTTATGTATATTTATTATGACTATAATATAAATTATAATTTTATTTAAATGATAAATTACTATTGATTTATATTATATATTGATGAGCTTCTTCAGAAATAAAAAGAGAAAAACTTTAAAGTTTGTATAGGAAATTTCAAATATTTTTTACTCTTAAGTGTTTTTTTTTTTAAACTATGGATAACTAAACACTATAAAGCCCGATTCACACTGTTACGGCACGGCACGGACCGTCACAGCACGTAACGGCACGACAAAATATTACATTATTAGTTTATATGGGGTAATTCACATTGATACAGACGACACCGCACCGTCACGTTACAGCACGGACCGGACCGACCGACTACCTATCATCCGAAAGAATGTTTTGACGGTCCGTATCGTGCCGGTTCGTGTCGGTACGTTCAGTGCCGGTGCAGTGTGAACACAGAACAGGCAAACGCCGTAGAAAATACGAGTGAATATCCAATGTTGTAGAAATTTGAATTTCAAACCCTCATAAAAATTCAATTTGACTTTCCGGTAGAGATTTTTTCATTGATAAAGGTAGACAAACTTATGAGTTATCTTGTATTCGATTTTCAAATCTTAGATTTAAAAAGAAAAAATTTTACGAATTCTTAACTCAAAATAATTTGTTAATTTTCGTGATTATTCCATATTTTGTCAATTTTTGAACTTTAAATGCTTATAAAAAAAAACTGTTACTAAGGATTTTTAATATTTTTCATCTGACTTTGAAACAATATACTTGGAGCCTTCTATTAAATTTTCAAGCTTTTTTAACCAACAAATAAAATTTTATTGATATTTCTAGAAAAAAAACTAAAAAAAAATGAAAAATGAAAATGTCCCTAAACAGTTCAAGAAAATTACTGAGAATTTTAAATTTTGACCTCCCCAATGCACCAACGATATTCACTTTCCAATCTAACAAGATACTGAAGTCGAAAATTGAAGCATTATTTCGACTACGTATCGTGTACACAGACACAAAAATAAAAAAATAAAAAAATATAATAACACACATCATTGTACAATCAATACGTCATTCATCGTTCCACTCAGAATCTAAAATATTAAATTTTTTTTTTTTTATATACCTAATTAAGTTTATTAGAAATTAAATTTTTAAACAAAATAAAAAAATCGATTTTGGTATTGCGTATTCCAGTTGTTCATTAATTATTTTTTGTTTTCCTAATTATTAAGAAAGGTATTGTTCATTTTTTAGTTTCGATCACATACGAATATGCTTTACTTCTTCTGCTTTTTCCATTAAAGAATTAAATGGTAATATTCTATCTTCTTGTAACATACTAAATAATATTTCTAATTCTGTTTGAACTAAATCATAATCTAGAAGGTAAGCACCTACACTGCTTGGTGGGAACAAACAAAAAGGAATATTGCTTTTATTAAATGGTTGAGTAAATAATGGTTGAATAGAAGAAATACATGATTTGAAATTATCATTTGTTAGTTTTAATAGGGTATCTAGAACCATTTTAAATTCTTTTCTATAAAATAGATGCATTGTGAATTCAGCTTGGGTTGTGGCATTACAATCATATCGTTTAGGAGCTAATCTTTTACGATGATGGTTTTTAAAATCAGCGCACAATTCCTTATCAGTTATCATTACAGCATTATTAAAAATAATTCAATGATTATACGACAGAATATAATATATTATGAAATTTCATATATTCTGTGATTATTCGAATATGTATAGGCAAATTTGTATACTGTTATAATATTATATATAATACATTGATAGGTGAAGTCTAAAATATTATTTATTTATTTATTTATTTATTTATGTATAATAAACGGGTATTAAACCCTTTAGCAATTAGAAAAAAATATAAGTACAGTTTAACTTATCTTATAACATAATTTGGACACAATAATGATGTAAAATTATTTGTACCAATGGAAATAGTTAACAGCCAAAAAAGAATAAATATATAGTACAGTAAAAATCATTAATAATTAACAATAAATGGTTACACAAAAAAATAATTTTTAATAAGAATAAAATAATAAAAATAATATTTAAGCAAGAGAATTTAAATTTAAAGCATGATAAACATTTTGTCTGAATACAAAACGCGACATAGCAAAAAAATCAACATGATCCATTATACTGTTAGCCAAAGACAGAGCTCTGGGGAAAAACGAGGTGGAAGTATAATTATTTTTGGAAAGAGAAACATGAAAAAAGTTAGATTTTCTTAATACGTGAGTTTGTACATTAAGACCAATGTGAAATAATAATTCCGGAGAATAAATAAGACCATTTAATAAGTCATATAAGAACATAATATCCGCAACATTTCTCCTCAAATCACAAGACGCGATCCCCAATTGGGAAATTTTCAATTTATATAATTCTCTCGTGATTGGTATATTTAATTTAAAGCATAAAGTTTTAGAAACTTAAACTGAATATTTTCAATTAGACTGGTATATGAAAAATAATGTGGAGACCAGACAATTGATCCAAATTCAAGATGAGACCTAACCAGGGAAAAATATAAAGTTTTTAAGGCATTGGTATTTTTAAAATTTATCGTGCTATTATAATAGTATTAACTGTGTTGGACAGTTGGCAATCGGAAAATTAACTTATAATACCTTCATATTATTATAAATTACAATATATTATTATGATATATTTGGACTTGTAGTATATACAAAATTATTAAAAAACTGTAAAAAAAATTATAATTTGCCGAGTGCCAACATGCCCAACTCAAATACTTAATGTAGGTATCAATGTGCCAACTGACATATACATATTATACGCTCAGGGGGGTGGGACACCCCCTAAAACCCCCCTTCGGGACGGCCCTGCGTAGGTACATATTCTAGATTTTCATTATTTCAGATTCAATAATTAATATTTATAGTTGTATTTTTAAATTCTTCTTGTGAAATAATATTGCTATAATTATATTATATTAAGTAATTTATAAAACAAATTCTATTAACTGTTGTTACTTTACATTAAAATCTAACAAGGTTAGACAAAACGAATTATTATGACTTAAAAGCCATTAGTTATTACAAAATACAAACGAACTTAAATTAATACACTTATGATATTTGTAGGTTGGTCTACCAATTCGTTTAAAGGCTGTACATATTTTAAATGCAGGATCGGCTACACAAATGATAATGAAAATGGTAACACGATTCGCTAATCAAGAATTATTAGAAAAGGTAAATACAATTTTAATATACAATTAAGGGATGTGTACATCATAATATTTGATAAGTAATAATATTGCATGTAAAAAAAATTGATCAGTAGTAAACATTGTAATTTCTATCTATATTTTATTGTATTATAAATTATAATACATAATTTAATTTTCCTACCTAAATACCTAATAGCATGTTACAGAAAAAAAGAAATAATTATCTATTGAAATCTATATTTTTAACGTACAAGTTACAATTCAAATAAAACGAGGAATTACGCTAATACATAAAAATTAGCATATTGGTCATTGTATACATATAGACGATACAAAGGTTTCTTCGTCGTGGCGATTTCTCCCTTCTATCGGGTATTTTTTTTTTTTTGAAAGATTAAGTTAAAATATGAATAACATTTTGTTTTATAAGCTATAATAATAAACAAATCAAACATAACATTGCAAATAATTATTTTTATAAATTATAATTATGTATACTTTAAATGATTAATTGATTAATTTTTTAATTCATAAATTAAAGAAAATATTCTACCCTCCCCTCACAGTCAAAATTCTCAGGAACCCTCACATATAGATATACATCTTTTAATAGTATCGTGCTATCAATTGTCTAGTTGCAAATGCGAGTATAATAATACGATTATTTTCGCAGATAACACTTTATAATATAAACTATAAATGTATAATTAAGCGCTTATTATATAAAAAAATCACTATTTATTTCATATTATTGGCGTGTTGTCCAGATGGCAGGGTATGCCTTAAGATGCAGTGAACGTAGTGTTAATAATTATAATTTATATGTGTATACGTACCTTAAATTAATTATATTTAATTATTATAATATTACTTATTAGTCATAGTAAAAAAAAAAAAAAAAAAACATAATAATATATTATAATGTTAAATGTATACCGAGTGATTCCCCTATATAATAATTATCTTGAAAAGTATAAAGGTTTTTAAAATTATTATTTAACATAATGTGATGTTATCAATGCTATTCCAATTACAATACATTTAGTTATTGTAACTACGGCCTATGTAAAAATATTTTTTTGATATTAAAAAAATTAATACATTTTAATTTTATATGAGCAGACCAACATTTTGAAGGGACTATGTATTATATAAAGTAAAAATACAATTATAATAATATGTATGCAAATATTCAGAATTATATTCCGAAATATGCATAATTGCATAAATAATGTTAAAATATGCTCAAAAAATTGAAATGAAAAAAGAATGGTTCTGAAATTTGATTATGAATGATGTGTTTATGTTCATTCAAAAATGTATGTATATATATATATATATATATAATTAGATAACTAGAAAAGAACTATCTAGCTATATCTACTAACAATTACGCATTACTGTATCGCGTGTACAACACGGCCTATCTTTCTACCTGACCATATCGATTATTTCTCTGTAGTATTGCAGGCTAAAATAAAGATAAAAAATTAAAACCTTGCATTTTCTATACATATTACTTGTGAATAATTACACTGTAAAAAATGTTGTTAAATTAAAACTAACGTCACCATGCAAATTTACCCCCTGATATGTGTATAGTAAATTTGTTGCAACTATATAATATGTAAATGATGTTTGTATACATTTTTGTGTAAATTTTAACTTCTGAAATACAGTTAAACCTCACCTAAGAAAACCTCTAAATAGCGAACAAAATGACAGCACCCCAGTGTCCGATATTTAGAGGTTTTTCTATCTTTCTTAAATTCTACCTAACCATAGCGATTATTTCACTGTAGTAGTGCAGGCTAAAATAAAGATAAAAACTAAAACCTTGAATTTTCTAAACATATTATTTTTTGAATTAGGTACTGCAAGAACAGCATAATATGAACAAACTTGACGTGTTGAGTGCATTGTCGAATAGTTTTATATTGATATAACTTATAATTCATAACTGTATAATTATTTATTACTATAATAGCGGTTTATCTAGTTAATGAATACAATAGCTTCATGTGATAATTTGCAGATAACACTTCATCCAGTCGGTTCAGATGATATATTCAATTACATATCGAGAAATGAATTACCAGCAGAGGTAGGAGGGTCAGGAAAATCGCATAGTTTTTTCAACGGTAATGATCAGCTCCCATGCACTCGATAGTACAAAAGTTAAGAACTTATGTAATTATTATTTGTATTATTTCATGCACTAGATGAACTGTACAACGACTTGGTCGATATTCGTGATGATTTTCTTGAGCAGAATGAAGTATTGAACAACCAAATGATGTATGTGAATCACAGACTTGAAGAAGATGACGAATAAACTATACCAATTTAATATTTTAAGAAAAACGTGAAGAACACATTAAGTTTACATTTTAAAACAATTTAAAACACTAGGTATAAAATAATGCCAATTTGTAGTTGTTAAGTGAAATTGTTTTATAATTTATTTATTGTAGGTTGTGATAATTATTTTTAGATTACTGTGTTTTATCGATAGGCAACTTAACGTAGTTAAAAGTGAATTGGGTACACAAATTACAATAATTTAATTTAAGAGTTGTGTTTGTCATATTATGATATTGTATACTTGATTACAAGTTTGAAGTTACGAGTTAGAGCTCAAGCAATTTTTGTATCATTTTGTAAATGTTTAAAATTTTTTTTACTTAGATAAAGTTGAACTATTTCAAAAATTAATTATTTTATCGTTAAACTTTTACTGTATAGCTCATAGCTGGCGTCCAATGGCGTATTTAAGATTTTGGCACCCTGGGTACACACATTTTGGCGCCCCTCTTTTCTTAATTTCCTTTTACTCATTGTCACAATTTAACTATATATATATTATATTTTCTATATTATGAGTGACGAAATTCGTCAAAATTATAAAAAACGTGCAAGCTATTATGAGTTAGATATTAATAAAATATTTTTTGTTTATATCTAAGATTTAAAAATGGAATACAAGGTAGTTTACATAAGAAGTTATTTTAATAATAGAATAAAAACATTAAAGATATGTATTATGTATGCACGATTTTTTTCATAAGTGTAGTTTAAATGTTGACAGAATTAGATATTTAAATGACGAATAATGATTTCAGTTATTTTGTTATAATTTAAACATTTTACTGTGGGTAGGTACCTACTTGAAACTATTAATGTATATATAAAATTATTTGCTGTATACACACAATACAATTTTTAAATGCAAGTATTTTGGAAAAAACTACTTTAATCTATATTTTAAGTACTGTGCTATTGTCTAATAGTAAAATAATTTATCTTAACAGCCGTAATATTATAAAATATACTTAGTAATATTATTGTCTTTAAGATGGCAGATCAAAGTCAGAACCGTTTTTCGTATTCAATGTTTTTATATCATTGAATTCAAATTTAACATATAAATCACAGAGACTGGGTCACTTGCCCACGTTTTTTTTTTCAATTGTATTTTGGTGTTGATTATTATTTATTAATAATAAATAAAATTGAAATCGATATTGAATTATTCAACATAAGCATATATTATTTGTAATCAAAGCAATTTAGTGTATACATAAATACATAAAACATAGGTAATCTAATTTTTTTCCAAGTGCCAAATGATTTGGTAGACCAAATACCTGCAGAGTCTACGTTCCGGCGGCTGGTTGTGTAAAGGACTCTTGGCGAATACCGCCTGTGCACCGGAGTTGCCCCTCGCCTGCTGTAAAGCACGATTCCGTACGTTTTACCTTTTTGAGAACACTATTCCATACGAATTTGATCAAACAATGGATTGTCAAATTAACCACAAAAACAACACGATTCCGTACGATTTTATTTGCAATGTTAATAATATAATATAATATAATTATTATAATTATTTTCAATTTGTTATTTATTTGACTGTCAATAAAAAAGTTAATGAAAATTTGTCAATTCAAAACATAAAATGTATGCATGTAAAAATATGTAAAATTATAATTTGATACCTTGGTACTTGTTACAAATATTTGATTATATTTTTGTGAATTAAATATTCTTTATATTCGTTAATTGTGTGGTATAAACGTTGTTTGTCGGCTAAGGCCATTTCATTGAAACGTCCTTTGGATGCTGATTTTATTTTTGTGCAAGTCTCTTGTTGTGTTTCCTTCAGAACTGATATAACCAAATTAATAGAAGGGTGTGGACTATGAAACTGGGTATCATATGTTATATTCAAACTCTCCGATCCGTTTGTTGTACTAAAGAAAAAAAATATGAAAACAATTTAGAAATTATATTAATAGTTTTACACATTGTATATAGTTATTATAGTATTACCGAGGATTTTCTGACGGCTCTTGAGCCCAAATGCTGTTTTGTGTGGTTTTTATATATAGAGTTCGATTATGGTAAACTGACAGTACCGTTTTTCGCCGACATTGGTCAGTCGACGCCGCGCCGCTTACATAATGCACAGCCTACGCACATTTTCTTTAAGTCGGTCCGCCGAGGATTTCAACCATGGTTTCTCAAGCCGGGCCCGATTTTACGGTGCAATGGTGGCTAAGCGGCTAAAAGGACTTTATTTTGCAAACATTGCTGCAGCGACAGCCGAATTAAATGGACCGACAGATATGGTGGACCTGATCACGGAATCCATATTCCAGCTGCTGGTAAGGGCTTGTGAATATGACTTAAAAATACGGTTGATACAACACGGTCTACTGAAGTAGTCGGAAAAACGATTAAACGTCGACGCAGCCCTTACATAATGCAGCCTTCGCAGATTTCTTTAAGTCGGTCCGCCGTGGATTTGGACCATATATTCTCAAGCCGTGCCCAGTTTTACGGTGCATGGCCGCTAAGCGGCTAAAAGCTCATTATTATGGCAACATTGGTTTTGCGAAAACGGAAAGTAATGTGCCAAATGATTTGGTAGACCAAATACCAGGGTCTACGCTCCGGCAGCTGGTCGCAAATTGTGTAAAGGACTTGGCGAGGACCTCCTGTGTACCGGAATTGCCCTTCGCCTGTGCACAAAACTTGCCGGCTCAAGATTCGGCGGTCGAAATAGTCCACCCGGTGACGTGTATCGAAAATGTTGCAAAATTAGTTCATTGATGCTCAATGATTCATTTAAAAAAATATTTATATTTTAATCGTTTTCCCTCATTTTAGGTATTGGAAGTAAGGTTCAAACAAAAAAAAAATGTTAGTCAAAAATTATAAATTGAATTTTTGACTAACTATCATTTTTTTTTTTGCTTGAACCTTACTTCTTATAGCTAATTTAAGGGAAAACGATTAAAATATAAATATTTTTTAAATACATCTTTCTTTAAAGGTATGGTGTACAAATGAATCATTGCAGGGCACCCATGAACTAATTTTGCAACATTGCCAAATTTACAAATACGTGTGTGAAGTTACTTTCATGTTTTTTGTTTCCTGACAAAACTACTAACTTACAAATTGTATTAATGGACTTGCAATTACTTGCAAAAACCTTGCTAAATATTGATTTATGTTTGAAGTTTTAAGCATTCAGTCGGAGGGCGAACACACGTCCTACAAATTGCAACAAAAATAAATTGATGATGCATATATCTTTGGGAGTCTATGTTATAATAAACATATCAATGATTTCATTCATATATGCCTATTGATATAAGTTTTGTGAAAATCGTAAAATTAAATTATATGTTTATAATATTTTCTGATGGATAAACAACTAATTGAAACGGAACTATATTTTTTTTTCTAATGTATTATTAAAATTAATTATCTTAAAATGCGTCTAAATTTTCTAAATCTGGGACATTAAGTGCTTTGAATAAGGAGTGATGAGAAATGATTGTTTTCGAAGGAAATTCAAATCATACACTAAATAACAGTGGTGCAAGTTATAAAAATACATATTACTTTATTTAATTATGCAACTCACAATAATCGATCGTTGGAAGGGTTAATTATAAATAATATATTTTTATGTTGAATAATAAATTCAATAACGGTTCCTATGACCTATTTTATGTATTATTAATAATGTAAATTTGTATAAAAATTAGATTACCTATTTATTATGTTTATGTATACAGTATTACAGTGTGATCACGATATTATGTACCACTGAATATCTCAGATGGGTGATTTTGTATTGAAATGGGGTTTTCTGGAGGTGATAGGGAGCACTTAAATACATATTTTCAGACCAGTTTAAAATTTTTAGCTCACTCGGTACGCGCATGCACAGTACGACTTACTTTTTTTTAAATGGCAACCCCAGTTTTTTAATGCAGATTCGGGTAGAGTATTTTTTTTAAACATTTAGTGTATAAAAAGTTATTTTCTATTTTCAAAACTGACCAAGTTCGAGTAAGTCAAAAGTTGGATTTATGCATAATATGATTAATATGTGTTTAGTGTAATTTTCATTTATAACCACTGGAAATAATAAAATAATTGCCAAATAAATGTTTAATGGTAGACGGAGTGGCCGAGTGGACTAAGGCGTCGGCTGCGACTCGAACCGTTGCCGGTTCGCATATAAGCATTCTGTATTCGAACTCGGCCACGGGCGACATTTTTCTTTTGGAAGTCACGGTGACAGGAGAGAGAGAGACCGTCATCCCCCACCCGGGCATGGCATATACCTACGGGTTCCCACTTAAAAATTCTGCCAAAACGTTCACACACGTAGGTATCTGCCATGCCCAGACGGGGATGTCACCATGTCGGCCTCTCTCTCCGGACACCGTGACTGCCAGAAGAAAAATGCCGCCCGTGGCCGAGTTCGACCTGGCAACGGTGCGAGTCGCAACCGACGCCTTAGTCCACTCGGCCACTCCGTCCACCATTAAACATTTATTTGGCCCTTATTTTATTATTTCCAGTGGTTATAAATGAAAATTGCACTAAACAAATATTAATCATATTATGCACAAATCCAACTATTTTGACTTACTCGAACTTGGTCAGTTTTGAAAATAGAAAAAAACTTTTTATACAATAAATGTTTAAAAAAAAATACTCTACCCGAATCTGCATTAAAAAACTGGGGTTGCCATTTAAAAAAAAGTAAGTCGTCTGAGCATGCGCGTACCGAGTGAGCTAAACATTTTAAACTTATCTGAAAATATGTATTTAAGTGCTCCCTATCACCTCCAGAAAACTCCATTTCAATACAAAATCACTCATCTGAGATATTTAGTGGTACCTAATATCGTGATCACACTGTATATGTATGTATTATACCTACAAGAAATTGCATCAATTACAAATGAAATATGTTTATGTTGAATAATTAATTTAATATCGGTTTCTATTTTAAGTGTTATTTAATAATGTACCCAAATGTAAATTATAAACTTGAATAGAAATTAGATTAGGTACCTACCTACCCATGTATTGTGTTTATGTAGTCAAAATTTATATATTCGGGGTTGAAAGGCTTGATATTTTATGTAGGAATAATACAAAAACATAATATATAGGTGATATAATATTTAAGGAAATTTACGATTTACAATACTTTCTAATCTGCTGTAGTGCAGCTACAGCATATCATACGCGAAAACAATTTTTTGGCGCGGGACCAAAGTGTTCGCTTACGTTTTACCTTTATTTCAACGCTAACCGCTTGTGGCACCTGTTCGTGGACTTGGATGCCGGACTCTGTCGTTTGACCAGACGCCACGTCCTGATCATTTACAATAATCGTTACCGGGTCGACTATTTCGACCGTCGAAACTTGGGCCGGCAAGTTTTGTGCACACTCCGGTTATACAGGCGTTCCTCGCCAAGTCCTTTACACAATTTTCAACCAGTCGCTGGAACGTAGACCCTGCTGGAATTTGGTCTACTACATCATTAATTGGCACATTTCTTTCCGTTTTCGCAAAATAACCAATGTTGCCATAATAGTGAGCTTTTAGCCGCTTAGCGGCCATCGCACCGTAAAACTTGGCCCGGCTTGAAAATAAATGGTCCAAATCCTCTTCGGGTCGACTTAAGGAAATCTGAGTGGGCTGCATTATGTAAGCGGGGCGACGACGTTTAACCGTATTTTTTATGTCATTTCCTAAAGCCCTAAAAAAGGTACCTTACTAGCCGCTGGAATATGAATTCCGTGATCTGCTCCACCAAATCGGTCGGTCCATTTACTTCAGCGGCCGCTGCAGCAATATTTGCAAAATATATTCCTTGTAGGCGCTTAGCGGCCATCGCACCGTAAAATCTGGCCCGGCAAGACAAACCGTGGTTGAAATCCTCGGTTGACCGACTTAAAGAAATGGGTGTAGGCTGCATTATGTATGGCGTCGACGTTTAGCGTTTTTTCCTGCCAACACCGGGTCCATGGCACCACTGCAATCTTTTTCACGGCTTGTTTTACAGACATAATCCATCACTTCAGACTGGTTCGAAGTATTATCTGAAGACATATTAATTGTTTTAACTTTTAAGAGACGAACGTACAACTTATAAACTGTAACAATAACTGCGTAAGCGCGATATCTCTGACACTAAATTATGAAGTGAACCACAAAATTATGTTATTTAACAGTATATAATGCTGACATGGCAACTATATAATATGTTTGAATATTTTGGTTACTATGTATGGACTAGGTGAGAAATAAATATCAAATATCAAATTTTGAGAGTAAATAAAACTGCAAAATAATTAAATACTGGAGCACACAAAGTGATTATCCGGGGCGGGACACTTTTCGGCCAAAATTAACCTTTCCCTTTTCGGCCAGTTCACTTTTCGGCCATTCTGGAATGTCCGTTTTCGGCCAGTACACTATTTTGGTCACCAATTAAAAATATTTTTTTTCCAATTTAGCTATCATATAATACAGTTATATTTAATACAGATACATTATAATATTATCAATTTACAAAAAAAGGAACAAAAAGTTATAGGAAAACTTATTTTTTTTAATAACTAGCACATGCACACATATTCTCTATATTAAGAGTGATTACTAATTATAGTTGGGAATCCAACATCTACGTATACGTTGAATCTATACGTCGACGGTCGATAAAAGTAATAACTAATAACTATCTAGGCGTATAGAATATCTTTCATCGTTATCTTCGACCTTCGTTCTATTATATCGATTGTTCATAAGCCATAACTCTGTTTAGTGTGTGTAGGTACGTACTACGGCGTGTTCGTATAGTCTTAATAGTCCGGTGTGTACTTAAATTAGTTTATTTTTTTATACACTATGACAAAATTTATCGAAAGTAATCGTGGTAAACGTATGTTAGTGTTTCAAAATTATAAATTTTCGTATGCAAACACTAAACTTGATGGAACAACGCGGTGGAAATGTGTGGTTCGATCGTGCAGTGTTAAATTATACACTGATAAAAATGAAAATGAAATATCCCTACACAATCATTTTTTTTATGTAAATTGTAAATTATGTATTGTAAATTGTAAATTATGAAAGTTGTGACTATATTTTTTACGTTTTTAACTTAATAATATTATGAAAATGTTGACTTAATATTTTTCATGTATTCTACTTGACTTAATAGGTACGAGATTTTAAAATAAATTGTAAATTGTAATTATTAAAATTGTGACTATATTTTTAATAATTTAATATACTTAATAATATAATATAAATTGGTATAGTTTAATAAAAAGAAAATATTTTTAATTGGTGACCAAAATAGTGTACTGGCCGAAAACGGACATTCCAGAATGGCCGAAAAGTGAACTGGCCGAAAAGGCAAAGGTTCATTTTGGCCGAAAACGGTTCCGCCCATTATCCGCATAATATTTTATCTTTTTTAATGGGTATAAATTGACGTATATATTTATGACACTGGCTTTTGGTTTTTTAAGCAAAAATATAATTTGCAAACATGTCTTATCTCCTTACTATTGTAGACGTTTGACAGAGGGAATCTATATTCTGTATTGCTGTATGTTAAGTTCCTTAAAATACGAACAATTTTTTCTTTGGTCTGAATTTGCCAAAGGCCAATAAAAATTAGTCAACAGACATATTATACAATGTTTGGATATTATGTTGTCTGGAATATGATGTAGCATAGCGTATCCAAGATCTGTCTTCGTAATATTTTTCAATTGATATTTTAGAAATATATCAGGAGCCTTGAATTAAATTTTTACACTTTTGGCACAACAAACAAAACCTTATTGATATTTATAGAAATAAAAACTAAAAAAATGTAAAACTGAAAATGTCCGTAAACAGCTCAAAACAAGTCAAAATATTTTGAAATTTATATCACGTATAAGAATCGATAAAATAAACATTCAGTGTAATTTTCATGTATCTACGGTTATTCGTTTTGGAATTACAACAAAATAAGGAAATTGCTATATGAGAAATCGAGTGAAAATCCAATCTTGTAAAAATTTGAATTTCAAACGATCATAAAAATTTAGTTTGACTTTCTTAAGGACATTTTTTTGTTGATAAAAGTAGAAAAACTTATAAGGAATCACGTATTACATTTTCATATGTTAGATTTAAAGAGAACAATTTTTATGAATTTTTAACTTCAAATAATTTGATAATATTCGTAATTTTTCCATATTTTGTCAAGATTTGAAACTGTGACTAAAGATTTTTAATATTTTTCAAATGTCAATGTAACGATATAGTAGGAGCCTTGTATTAAATTTTTACACTTTTTGGCCCAACAAATAACGCTTTATTGATAATCATGGAAAAAAAATAAAAAAATTGAAATATGAAATTGTCCGTAAACAGCTCAAAACAAGTCAAAATATTATAGTGTATAGAAAATGCAAATATAAACAACCAGTGGAAATTTCATGTATCTACATGATTATTTGTTTTAAAGTTACACCAAAATTCAAAAGCGATTTTGTCAAAAACCGATTTTGCGTAAAAATTCTCGTTTTTCCTTAATTTTTATTTTGTTTTTCTTGGTGCTTTTGAAAATTACCGGGAATTTTAAAAATTTGATCTCCCCAATACACCAAAAATATTCACTTTTATAGCAAAGAGATGCTTCGATAATCACTTCGAGGGGGGTTTCTGGAAAAACTATCAGTTATTTCCAAATAATTGGGAAAAACAATAACAAAACATTATGACAAAATCAAAATTCATAACTGTTTTTTTGTATTATAATTCAAAAATAAATAACTGTAGAGACTTCATATATTTTCCAAAGATCCATATTAAGCATTTATTATACATGTTATAACTATATGATAAAAATGTTGTTTTGGGTGTAAAGAACTTGACAATTTATTACAAGGTTTTCCGTAAGATATTCATATAAAATTTGAAAATATCGAAAATACTTAGTCACGATTTTATGATAAGAATTTAAAGTTAACATTTTTACGAAATAAGAATCGTTACATAATGAACAGACTCTGCTTAGAATCGTTTTTCGTGTGTAATGATTTATGGTTGAATTCAAATTTAACACACCCATCACTGTGACCCAACTATTCAATGACTGTGAGGTACACTCGTCAGTCGACATCTACTTACTACATATAATTTGATAGATCAATTTCCCCGATTTTTTTTATTTTAATTAATTGGTAAGGGGGTCACGTGACCAATGTATTAAATCATTACTTTTAAACATTATCAGTGTACGTATATCAATGTTTCTAGATAAGTATGCTGTACTTAGAATTGTTACTATAATGTCGTTTTTTATTTTCGGACAGTGTTCTGCGTCTGTTGTGGTATGCAATTTAATACTTTAACTATAGTATAAATACACATTATCTGTTCTTTATCTATATACTTCTTGAAATGAATTAGATTAGTCATCTCGGTGTGATTCAATATGGCTTTAATTAATAAGAGTTATTTGTTCGGACTTCGAGGTGGCATATTACAACACGATAGTTGATAATGAACTTCAATTGATCGTTAACCGTGTGCTGGATGTGTGATGATGGCCAATATATTATTGTGCTTAATAGATAAATATTATAGGGGACGTACACATTTTGTTGTGACACAAACTTGACATTTTTAAACGTTGCTGGTCATGAAACACTAGGTACACATAATTATATCATAGGGTTATGGTCAAATTGTTATATTATGCATGTAAGATACAATTTTTACTGTAAAGTATCGAAGTCTGACTTTGCACGCTTTACCCGCGGGTATAACATATTTATATATACCTCGGTGATCAAATTTGAGCCAAGGTTTTATTTGAACAATAAATCGCCAATTGTTTGTAGTTTTATCTATTACAAATGTTCATTGATCCAATTACAATTATTATAATATCATATAATATGATATAATATCACGCCAATACCAATCAATATTATAAACCTAAGTACTATAATCATATGAATAAAATATTATATATACTATGTGTAATGTGTAAAATGTAAATAAATATTATTTATTTAAATAAATTAACTGGATTAATATTTTTTTTTTTTTTACTATATTATGTGATTATGTGGATATAGTGCAGGTAATACGTACCTATACCTAAAAATTGATCTTATATTCCTATGTAATAAAATAAGTCACGACATTTATTTGTCCAACAAAATATACGGAGAAAATATAATATATTACGGGCATACGTTTTAAATTTGACTTTTAATATACATAAAATGTTACGTCACAATAGGTAAACTATGGAGTGCATATATAGGTTGCTAGTAAATTATAAAAAAAGATTATTATCGGATACCTTTCCCAAAAGCCGTACGTCATATATCAATTACGATACGACTTAAATATATATACCTTTTTATATTTAACATCTACTGTAGATGTCCACTAATAGATCATAATTTATTTACTGGTAGCTATAAAAAAAATTGATTATGATTTATGGGTTTTTTATTTTTGTACAGTTAGTTATGCATTTACTGGTAGCTATAAAAAAAATTGACTATGATTTATGGGTTTTCTATTTTTGTACAGTTAGTTACTTAGTTATGCATTTACCATTTAATGCACAATATTATATTGACTGTTGATTGGGCGTTCACAAACGAATGTCTAGACAA